GGAGGAAATGGAGGTTGCAGAGAAGATTGAGAAGGTGCAAAAGGCAATTGAGGGGTCTGTTGATGATTTGGAATTGATGGGAAGGTTGTTAGATGAACTTGATTTATTGCAGAATAGGGCACAGGCTGTAGACTTGGATCAGGTGAATTCTAAGATCAATAAGTTGATGCCTGACCTTGGGTTTTCGCCCGAGGATTCGGATAGGTTAGTGGCTTCTTTTAGTGGTGGATGGCAGATGAGAATGTCACTTGGGAAGATTTTGCTTCAGGTTTGTTGAATTCTGTGTGTAAATTCAAATGCTGTTGAGATTATGTTGACAAATTGCAATCTTATTGTCGTTGGTTGCGTAGTTTATAAACACTTCTAGTTTCTGTTTATTTTAATATAATGTTTCTTTGCTTTAAGATGGATACATTATTGTTAAATAAGCTCATGAAATGAAATTAGAAAGAAGTTTCTTCTGTTGTTGGTGGGAATAAGTATGTGATATGCATAGGTTCTGGAATTCATGCATGAAAATTATAGACACCTGCCCAAATTATGCTTATGCTTGAAGCATCTCATTGGGGGAAATCTTTTGTGTACTATACTTTGCTAGCATTTGGTAGTTACCTTGATATGACTATATCATTATAACAAAAAGGAAAAAAAAAACCATTTCTTCTTATTCATGAAGTAAAGGTGATTTCTTATAGCTTTATGCCTGAATCATTGCAGGATCCAGACTTGTTGCTATTGGATGAGCCTACTAATCACCTTGATCTTGACACCATTGAGTGGTTTGAGAGATATCTTAACCAGTTGGACGTGCCGATGATTATCATCTCTCATGATAGAGCTTTCCTTGACCAGCTTTGTACCAAAATTGTGGAAACAGAAATGGGTGTTTCTAGGACATTTATAGGAAACTATTCTGACTATGTTATTTCAAAGGCAGCTTGGATTGAAGCTCAGTTTGCTGCATGGGAGAAGCAGCAGAAGGAAATTGAGCAAACAAGGGACATAATTAACCGAGTTGGTGCTGGCGTTAGTGCTGGCAGAGGATCTACTGCAGAGAAGGTACAAATGTACTTGTATAACACTTTGTAATGCTTTCTAAGTTTTTGCGAATTAGGGAATTTTGATGTTCAATTGATTAAAAGCAGAGAAATTAAGAACTATGTAACCATAATTTACTGGTACTGTGATTCTATGTTGGCAATTGGATCATACATCATCAGTTTTGGTGGTAATAATGGATCATTCTGCAGTTTTGAGGCTTTGAATCTCTGATTCTTGCAATCTTATATCTAGTGAAGTGGAAGCAAAGTTTTTCTTCATCTCACCACTTGACTGTATTCATGAAGATTGCTGACATTGCTGATATTTGAAAAATGCTTGTTCGATTTTGAATTTAAAAATTTAAACCTCATGGTGAACATGGTGGAATCCTTAAAGCCATTTCCATCTTGTTGAGTATCTTGGTCTGTGTAAATGCATATTATGATGCTGCTGCACAAGTTTTATTTCTTTATGTTCTTACTGGCTCGGTGTCTGAAGGTTGAATCTGATTCTGCAACTGTTGAGTGTATACTTTTCCATTTTTATGGAATAATATAAATTGAAAGTTGGTCTCTTTTTCGCTTAATAAAAAAAGACAATCCAAAGCTTTCTTAAGTCCTTGTGGCATTTGTTTCTACGTTGTTACAATTACAAGTCAAATGCTGTATGCTTAGTTTCCTACAAATACTCTTCATGTATTCCAAAATGCTTGATTCATGACGTATCTGCTATATTCTATTGTAACAGAAATTAGAAAAGCTGCAAGATGAGGATCAAGTTGAGAAGCCTTTCATAAGGAAGCAAATGAAGATCGTATTTCCTGAACCAGAACGAAGGAGCGGGAAGTTGGTCTTGACAATAAATAACCTGCAATTTGGCTATGGCGATAATGTGAGAAAACTCCCTACCCTCTTATGCGTTCTTTGTAGCTCAAAAAGGGGTTATTTTTTTTTAACTGGGTTGGAACTTGGAAAGGATAAGGAAAAAGATATATTTACCTCACGATTGAATTATCAGATTCCTAATACATGCACATTTCAGGTATTATTTCGCAACGCAAATCTTACAATTCAGCGAGGGGAAAAAATTGCTATTATTGGTCCCAATGGCTGTGGGAAAAGCACTTTGTTAAAATTAATTATGGGTTTGGAGAAACCTACTGCTGGTGAAGTTATATTAGGGGAGCACAATGTTATCCCAAATTATTTTGAGCAGAATCAGGTATTTTACCACTGTCAGGACCTAGTTTAAGAATTTGTGCATTTAGGTTTTAGTCCTTTTAGCACTATGAAAGATATGTTTCATGATGTGTTAATTAAGCTGAGATTGGCTTAACTTGTTGCAAGGCTGAAGCGCTGGATTTGAATAAAACAGTGCTGCAGACAGTGGATGAAGTTGCAGAGGATAAGGAACTCGATGAAATAAAAGGTCTTTTAGGGCGGCTTAATTTTAAGTCTGATATGCTTGATAGGAAGGTCTCCCTTCTGAGTGGTGGAGAGAAGGTACTATTGTCAAAATAATATAATAATAAATGTTTTGTCTTCAGCTTTGCCTGAGTGTTTTACTCAATCTCTTTCAATGTCATTGGAAGACTTACCAAATCATTTTCTGCTTCTTCAGGCTCGCTTGGCGTTCTGTAAATTCATGGTGAAAAAGTCAACTTTACTGGTTCTCGATGAACCTACCAATCACTTAGATATACCTACGAAAGAGATGCTTGAGGTTAGCGATCTATTTCATGTTTAAAACTCTTATAATAGTAGTCGTTGTATAAGCAGTTATAAATTCTTAGTTTTATTGCTTTTTAGGAAGCTATACAAGAATATGAAGGCACTGTCATTACAGTTTCCCATGATCGATATTTTGTTCGTCAAATAGTTAACAGAGTGATTGAGGTGAAGGATGGATATCTACAAGATTATGTTGGGGACTACAATGTAAGTCTTGCTTCACCTTATATGATTCTGGTTCTTTTAAATTTGGCTTCAATTTTGGTTTATTCCTGGGCTCATTTTAGTCTAGTCAGAGCTATAGGATCTGTTTGACTGGTGAATTATCTTTGGAATTTGCTTTCCTTTTCTAAGATTATATACTGGATACTCGTACTTTTACCCATATAACTAAATTCTTAAAGACAGAAGAAACGGTATTCCAATTGGTCTCTTCGAAATGTCTTATTGAGTTTTTTCTACCGCTAAAATACAAATGCACTTTGTTATAGTTATACAAACTGGTCACTTTGACATGTGGGCTCTGGTAGGGTTTGATACACCTGATCTTTTGGTTGGTGCCAATTTCTGCTGTGCTAAATGTATAAATTTGCTGGCAATGTATTGTTTAATCTTGTTGTGTATACATTTTGCATGAAAATATTGGCAATTTTCTCTGAACTCATAATGTCTCATAACCTCTCTCACAATAATGCGTGTTAAGCTAGTATTGTTGTCTGGTGTACATTTATAGCTACATACATATGAAAATAGAAAAATTAAGAATGGCTGGCTAACCAAAATTTTTATCTCACAATAATACGAAGGAATGAGAAGGGGAAAACTGTGAAAGTGAGGGCATTGGAGCCTTTTACATGGTGTTTTAAATATCGATGTTGTAAACTAACTATTTCAGAGATTTGTAAGGCTTTAAAGAATATATTTGATGGCATATGCAGTATTATTTAGAGAAGAATCTCGATGCAAGACAAAGAGAATTGGATCGTGAGGCAGAGCTTGAAGAGAAGAATTCCAAAGTAAAAGCAAAATCAAAGATGTCCAAGGTAGTTTTAAGCTGGTGATTAACATAGTATGTCTTAAATTATTTTCCTTTACCAGAGACTAACATACGTTTAACAGGCTGAGAAGGAGGCTCGGAAGAAACAGAAAATGTTGGCTTTTCAGCAGGCAAAAGCCAAAGCAAAATCTAAGGGGTTAAAGAACGCGAAGAGATGGAATTGAGATGGTATCATCAGTATTTTTAATGAAGATACCCTCATTGTGATCACTCTCTCTTTGTTAAGGGATTTAAAAAGGCTGTCAATCTTGATCGTGTACATAGCTTCAAGTTGATGGTATATATGGTCCTAGGGGTCTTTGTTTTGTGATTCGAAAAGAAATAACTCGTTAAGCCTGTAATGGGAATATATATAGCGAAGCTTAATTTCAGTTCTCTGCATACTTAGCTTAGAACTTGATCAAACAATCTATAAATTTTGTAAATAGCAATTTGATAGCTCCTTAATTATGTGTTCTTTTTGGATCCCTCCTTACACCCAAACTATGGGTGTTGTCTTATAATTTAATACTGTTGTTTATGTTGCTGAAATGCTTTGATTTGAAGAGCCTATTCAAATCACCCTTCAAAAAAAAAAGAGCCTATTCAAATCAGATGAAAGTAATAAACTAATGAGCTTCTTTAACAGTTTGATACATTGTTATTTTCATTTTTACTTTTTTTTTTTGGGGGGGGGGGGGGGGCATTTAAACAATTTATAGAATTTGCTTCTATCTCATTTATTTATGCTTTGGATGAAAAGCTTGTCTCATTTTTTTGCTGGTTATTTGAAACTTTTAAGGTTGGTTTTGGGAAGAAAGGCAAGATTTCGACATGCAATTTTTTGAGCACTTTGGTCCCATATCATCTAAGACAACTAAATAAACACGCTCATAACATTATAAAACCTTAATAAGTAGAGTAATGATTTGGATATATATACTAATAAAGATAAACAATCCAATAGGGGATGTCAGTGGAGTGGATGTCACATAATAAAGAGAAAGAGGTTTGTATTAGGGGATGAAGGGAGTACCCGTCATGAGTGATGGAGCGGATGTGGATTTTACGTTGTACCCGCCCCACTTTGTACCCGCTTCATTCCCGTCCCGCCTCACTTTGTACCCACCTCATTCCCATCCCCATCCCCATCTCACACTCACATCTATATATTTGTAAAAATAAGTGTGTTACATTAACAATAGTTTTTCACGCATTCCTTGCCTTATTTTTGTTTTTTCAAGGGAAGAGAAGCATCTTTTCGGTGGGTAGTACTTTTGAGGTTTGAGCATAATTGTGTTCCAGTACTCTTGACCTTCATAAGGACCAAGGAAGCTTTTCTTCTTCATAATTGTTTCCAGAATTACATGAACATGCTCAGCTCTATATCTGCTAATGTTGGAGAAGCTTTTATGAAGCTTCTTCCTCTTCATTTTCATGGCAGATCCTCAAGTAAGCTTCTCCATTTCTCTACTACTTTTCCCTTTTTCGATTTCAGTTTTCCCCTCTTCAACTCTCCCTCATTTCACCTTTCTGTTCTGTTTCCTTCCCGAAATTACACCAATTACGTTACTCATGATTTTGATTCTGATTTTGATGACCCCAAATTGTTTCTGAAATTTGTTAGACAACAATCCAAATTAGGGTTTACTAATGTTGAAATCCCCCTTTCCCATTTCCACCATATGATATCGATGAGACCTCTTCCTTCTATTATTGATTTCTGTATGTTATTGAGTGCCATGTCCAAGATTAAACCCCACCCACCTTTCTCCACTGTCATTTCTCTTTACAGACACCTCCATTTGTTAGGTGTTCGCCCAAATGATTACTCCCTTACCATCCTTGCTAATTGCTACTGTCGTTTGAACTTTGTTGATTTCGGCTTCTCTGTTCTCGACAACATTATTAAACTTGGTTTTCAACCTAACATTGTCACCTTTACTACTCTCATCAACGGCTTCGTTCATACTCATCACTTGGACAAAGCCGTTCAATTGTTGGATAAAGTTGTCAAGCTTGGCTACCACCAACCCACATTAATCACCTATGGTTCTATGTTCAAAGGTCTCTGTAGGTCCGGTGATAATGCCGGTGCTCTCAAACTCCTCAGAAATATGGAGTCTTATGGCCATTTTATGCCTAATGTTGTCATTTACAACACCATCATTGATAGTCTCTGTAAAGACCAGTTATTACCTCAGGCTCTCCGTCTTTTCAAAGAGATGAAAGTCAAGGGAATTTCCCCTAATGTTGTCACCTTTAATACCTTAATTCGAGGTATGTGCACTTTGGGGCAACAGAAAGAGGCCCAAGAAATGCTGACTGAGATGTTGGGGAACAACATAACTCCTGACATTGAGACCTACACCACGTTGATTGATATGTATTGTAAAGAAGGCAAGGTTGGTGAAGCACGGGACATTTTTTATTTCATGACTAGGATAGGATTGGTTCCAGATATCATCACTTACAACGCTCTGTTAGACGGATATTGTTTACGTGGTGAGATGGACGAGGCAGAAAAGCTTATGGATGTGATAATAAAAGATGGTTGCAAACCTGATGTAGTTACTTACAACAGCTTACTCAATGGCTATTGCAATTCTAAAAACATTGACAAAGCTCTTGGTCTGCTCCAAGAGATGCATTCTAACGGATTAACCCCTGATGTTATCATGTACAGCACTCTTATAGATGCTTTGTGCAAAGACAATCAAATCAAGCTTGCACACCAGTTTTTTGAGGATATGAAAGCTCATGGACTGAAACCAGATATAATAGCTTGGAATTCATTCCTTGATGGCATGTGTAAGAATGGACAAATTGACGAGGCAATTACAACAGTGAAGCAAATGGGGAATACTGGAGTGATCCCTGATATTATTACATACAGTATCCTAATGGATGGTTTCTGTGAAGCTAATCGGCTTAGAGAAGCAGAGGATATATTCTCTTTTCTCATAACTAAAGGGCTGCATAATGTGCGTGCTTACACCATAATGATAAAAGGGTTTTGTAAAGAAGGGTTGCTAGCAAAAGCCGATGAATTATTGAAGAATATGGAGGACAATAAATGCTTTCCAAATGAATGCACCTTCAATACAATTATAAGAGGATTTATAGATGAAAAGGATGTGAGGAGAGCTTTAGAGCTTGTCAGCTTAATGAGAAACAAAGAGTTTGCTGCTGATAATCACACTATATCGTCATTTGTGAGCTTACTTAATGATCCAAATACTGATGATGTAGACAAGGAATTATTGAAAAAGTTTTTGGAAAACTGAGCGAGCAATGGTTAAAGCGGAGGTGGAAGGAGCAATGAGTTAAGCATAGATGATCAGCTGTGAAAGAGATGTGAAAATAGACATTATGAGTGAACATTATAAATTGGTAAGTCATATATTTAATGTGTTCTGATAGACTGTAGGCAAAAACCTTAACTCCTGTAATCTGGAACATAACCTGTAAATTTTGTATCCAATTGTTTGCTTGCCATCTGCCTGTGAGTCGCATTAGTTGTACTATATCTTATCCAATGGTTGTAAACAGCAGTTGTGCTTACTTTACATAGGGGTCAAATTTACCATTTTACTTGATTAGGCATAACCACACATGCTGTAATGCTGTATAGTGTATACAATGCAACTCTTGTACATAGGGCTCTTAGGCTCTACAAAGTTTTGATCGGTTCATTGGAGACGTGTTGATTGAATTTCTTGGGGTGTGTTTTAGCTTTCTGTAGATAACCAACCTTTGAAGTCTCTGTCGTTGAAGATTTTTCTTCTTCCAGGCACTTGGATCTTGCTTAACTGAACTCGTGTTTTGGTTACATAACATAGTTGTAAGCCCATAATCAAATCATATAACCTGGTTGACATTTGTTAATTTCTTCTCTTTTTTCCATTCTGAAAAAAGCAAAAAGCAAAAGGTGTGAAACACTCCAGGTTTAGATATATATGGAACTGGTTAAGCTGCAATTCCCAACTTCCAGTTAGATCCTACCAGTTCACTTTTCACTCCTTTTTTTTTTTTTTTTTTTTTAAATATATATATTTTGCTGTCTGTTTCAATTTCAGGGCAGTGAGGCTCATCATAAGCTTGGAGGCTTCTGATTTCGGATGAAGATAATCAATCTCAGAACTGAATGTGGCAAGGTATTCATAAAACGACTACTCGGTCTTTGGGTTGCTTGGAATCCTTGGATCACATTACTAGCATTTCTCTAGACGTCTATTGTGGTTTTTTTTTTTTTTTTTTTTTTTTTTAAGAGAAAGATACATGGTTTTCAAATTCAATTATGGTCATATTCTCTCAAAACATAAGACTAAAAACTAATTGATCTGAACAGTACAAATTACTGTATACAAATGTATTCATATATCCTTGCTATTTGTATCCCAAGCTGAGCAGCCATATAGCTACGCCAATCTCTGGATTTGTAGCATGATATCCTAGCAGCAGCACTTAACAATTCTTTATTGTCATTGAGGATTACAACTCCAAGTCACTTTTCCCTTTTGCAGAAATTGTTATAAAAAAATAGCCTTAGAAGACATACTTTTTAAGGAAGTGATTATACAAGGTATAATCCACATTAAAGTGAAATAGAGTACTTAATTTTGTTATAATTTATACACATAATACTCCCTCCGTCCCTCATTGATAGCCACTTTTGCTAAAAAAATCACGGGAATTAAGGAGAAATGAAGAAAGTACATTGAAAAATTAAATTTACATTGGGTATGCAAATAAGCAGAGAGAGAGAGTAATTAAAGTACACGGGAATGTAAAATTTACATAGAAAAGTTAAATTTGCACAAATATTTTTGCAAATGTTAGATAGTTTTGGTAAAAAAATAATATTAAGGATCTTGCTAACGAACGCCCCCGGGGCGTTGGTTAAGCATTTAAAACATTACCTAAAGTGATATTAATTTGGGAAAGCATGACAAAATCACGCGTCGATCGGTGTAATTAATGTTTATTTTAATTTAATCTTTCCATTTTTAGCTAGCTTATCCAACGCCCCCGGGGCGTATGTTAGCTTTTGCCTAATATTAATGTTACTTGAAAAAAAAGCAAATGTAACTAAAATTTTGAGTCACCAAAAATGACAAAAGCGACTATTAATGGGGGACTGAGGGAGTACCTATCATACCCTTATTTTGTTATATAAGATAATTTTGTGAAGTTGTCCGTTTATCCTCTCTAATCACCTCTTGAAAGTGTGTACCCAAAATGTGTAGTTATAACTTACAACTTCAAATTAAATCAAGGTGGGAGCTTTATACAAACTTTTTATAAATAAAGGTGGGTGTACAAATTGTACACATATTGTACATTAGATGTTAAAGGGCCTCATCTGATTTACTGAGTTGGGCGAAACTGAACTGAACTGAATTGATTATGAGAGAAGGAAATTAAAAACTGAGTTAATTGAATTGAAATTAAACTGAAGAGAACAGACTCTAAGTTAATATACTCGGTATGTATCTTTTATGGGTGAAGTCGTCCTTGTAAATTAAATTACTCTTGAATTTTTACTTCCCTTCTTTTTTTTTTCCCCCTAAATGCATCACTTCTTGAATTCTGCGTAATTTTACTCTTCTGTCCCAACTCCCAAACTTATTTCTCTATTATTATTTTTTTTGGTCGTCTCATATTTTTAGTTGATTTTCAATCAACCAAATACTTGAGTTTTCAAGGTTAATTTCCCTCCTAAACTCTATGTTTATTCTTTGGAAAGTTCATTAATTTAGCTATGAATTACGAGCCCTTTCCCTAAATAATGTTGGGAAATTATCTAATTCCCAAATTATAGCTACTCTTTTTTTAATTCCCACCATATCGTCCACGTCACCAGTTCAGTGGGAATTTTTTTTAAAAACGGGTTTATTAGAAAACCGCTACTTCAAGTAGCGGTTTACATATTAGAAACCGTTACTTGAAGTAGCGGTTTGTATTTACTAATTAATTTTTTAATAAAATCACTTTCTCCCCTTCCATTGTAAAGTAATTCAGCAGAATCATCCGAAAAGAAAAAATAAATAAATAAAAATTCGAACGACACTCCTCAAATAGCCTTCCAACGCAGCAATCCCTCGCGTTGGAAGCCGTTTTCGCCACCATCGATGCCTTCCTACGGTTGTTTGCCGACAATGATTGTTGTGAGAATATAACCAGAAACAAGGATATATCAAAGGATTTGTGATGCCGACACCGATTGCACGCCAAATTGCACCGATTATCAAAGGTTTATGGAACATGGGGATACAACTAAACATGGGCACGGGTCGTGCCGGCACGCGGGCGGCACGGGGCCGGCAAGACTCCGGCACGGCGGCCCACCTGTGGGCCGTGGGCCGTGCCGTGAACAAATTTCTGGAATTTGGCACGGGCAAGGCACGTGGCACGCCTGCCAGCACGGTGGCCGGCACGTGGGCCGGCACGCTGACACGACCCGTGCCAAATTACCGTTGGAAAACTAGCCGTTTTTGGCCGTTTTCCAACAGCTATAAACGACTAGTTTTCCACCCCATTTCCCACCCAAATTCCCTATAAATACCTCATATTTTCCTCCAAAATTTTCACAATTCATCAACTCATCTCTTCTATCTTATTCTCTAATTTTCTTACTCCCAAATTCTCAATTCTCAAATTCCTACAAATCCTACAATCTTGCTCTCTTTTGTGAAAAAAAAAAAATTCCTACTCTCTTATAAATTTTACATTTTTACTATTATTACTTTTATTAGTCTACTACCAAAAAAAAAAATTGTTATATTTACATTCGGGAAATTATAAATTCGGGAAATTATAAGTTCGAGAAATTATAAATTTGGGAAAGCATTGATGCGTCATTGTAAGATCTAACTCAACTTTATTTTAATTTTTTATTGTTAGTTGTTGTTGTTATTATTATTATTATTATTATTGTTATTATTATTATTATTATTATTATTATTATTATTATTATATTCTTGGAAGTTGGAACTACTTAATTATATAAAAACTACTTTCTATTTTAATTGTGGGTTATTTGGATTGTTGAAATCTGTCTAAGGCGGGACTTGGGCTCTAGACAACGTCGCTCCTAACCTCTCCTACCTGGGATCTCATTGATCCAAGTAATCAACTATTATTATAATTATTTTTAAAAATTTAATTTATATAAAAACTACTTACTAATTCTTATTGTTATTGTTATTATTATTGTTGTGAATTGTTATTATTATTATTGTTATTGTTACTTTGGTATTGTTATTGTTATTTGTATTATTATTATTATTATTATTATTATTATTATTATTATTATTACTTTGGTATTGTTATTGTTATTTGTATTATTATTATTATTATTATTATTATTATTATTATTATTATTATTGTTACTTTTATTGTTATTATTATTAATTAATCATGGCATCAAACCCGAACGCTTCCTCCTCCTCTAGAAAAACCAAGTCAAAATGTAGGGAATCACAAAATCCAAACTCTTCAATGCCTATGCCCCCCCCTAACATGCCCTTTCCCTCCCCTAACATGCCCTTTCCAAACACTTCCACCCCTTTCTTTCATCCCCAAAACACGGGAGGGCAAGAACAAATGGATGATATGGCTCCTTGGACCCAATTTCAACAAAGCCAATTTCAACAACATGAATTTCCTTTTCCTCCTCCTTCCCAAGGTAGCGAAACACAAGCCTCCGGGTCGAGTGAACCATCCACCCAAATGCCCAACACCCAAAATCCTAACATATTAGAGTGGTGTACCGAAGAGGATTTTGCTCAAACCAAAAGAAAGAGTGAAGTTTGGTCACATTATCAATTAAGTAAAAATGGACAAAAAGCCAAGTGTCGGACTTGTGGTAAAATTTTCTCGGCCGATACCAAGGGAGGGACGGGACACCTTAGTAGACATACAAAAAAATGTGGTGGACCATCTAGTGATCCAACCCAACCCAAAATTTCTCAATTCCATCCACAAGGCTTCATTTACAATTACGAGAGAGATAGGGATGAACTTGGGAGAATGATTGTACATGCGGAACAACCTTTTCTTTTCGCCGAAAATGATGCCTTCAACAACTATATTAACCGAGCACTACAACCAAAACACAAAAAAATCTCCCGAAAAACCGTTCGATCTGCTGCCATGAAGAGTTATCTAGAGTACAAATTAAAATTAGTAAATGAATTAGCTAATCTTCCTAGTAGAGTTTCTTTAACCGCCGATGCATGGGATGGTGGTTACGGACTCCACTATTTATGTGTTACTTGTCATTGGTTAGATAATGAGTGGTTGTTACAAAAACACATCATTCATTTCAAAATGCTTGAATACCCTCATACCGGTCTTAACATTTCACATCATTTAATGGAAGCCATTGATGCATATAGTTTTAGGGATAAAATCATGTCTATGACTTTCGATAATGCAACTTCTATGACATATAGTGCGAATTTGGTCAAATCCCAATTGACCGATGTTATATTAGATGGAGATGCACTTCATGTTAGATGCATTTATCATGTTCTTAACTTGTGTGTGAAGGATGGAACACAAGAAATTGGTCCATTTTATCACAAAATAAGGAATGCTATTATGTCTATTAATAGCTCTAACATGAGATATCAAGAATGGAAAGGTTTTTGCAGGCAACAACGGATAAAAACCATAAAAATAGCACCGGATTGTCCAACTAGGTGGAACTCCACCTAAGAAATGTTGAGTCGGGCAATCGAGTACAAGGTTCATTTAACACTTTTTTATAATATGAAATTTCCACAATGTGCTTTACTAGAAGATGATTGGCTTAATTGTGAAAAATATATGCAGTTTTTACAATTACTATATGGTATGACACATTGTTTTTCTTCTGTATATAATCCTTGTTCTCATTCTTTTCTTAGCAATGCATGTTTACTTGCACAACTTTTTGCGGAACACCGATCTCAACATGTTTATCGTGGATATCTTCCATCCATTGAGGAAAAATGGCGTAAATATTACACCGATATTCCTATGATTTATATTTTTGCTTCTATTTTAGATCCTAGGCAAAAATATGATGGCACCTTTTTATTAATTGATATTTATTATAGTAACATGAATTTTGAAGATGATGTTGAAACTTTTAAAAATAAGGTGACTAATGATTTTTTTTCTTTATATAGAGTTTATGAAAGTAAATATGGAACCGTGTCTCGATTTGCCCCTTCTCAAACATCCAAAAATGTAAGTAAACGGGCCAAAGGTTTATTT